CTGCTTAGCCATATCGCAGGCCCAATAGTCCAGAAGATTAATGATCCGCTCCTGTGAGCCAAGACAAGCCAGAGGAGTTGGTGGGGGTCTGGTGAGTCTGAGAGGCCAGATATGGTTGAGGCTGCATGAGATCCCATGTGTCTCCAGATAGCCATGATTGGCCCTAAGCAAATGCCTCTGAGGTAGCTAGCTCAGAGGTCTGTATCCCCTTTGGGGTAGTCTCACATGGGCTTATTTACTTGAATATTTGTCCCCAGTTGGTGGCACTGTTCGGAGAGGTTCTGGAGGAAGACCGTCCCTGGGGATGGACTTTGAGAGTGTGTAACTCTACCGCACTTACAGTTTGCACGCTGCTTCTCGCTGGTTTATAAAGCTGTGATCTTCAGCTTCCTGCTGCTGTTTCCCTGCCTTTCCCAGCATTCAGCACACCTAGCCCTCTGCCAGAACAAACTCTCCCTTCGGTTGCTCTCACTCGTCCTGTGCGCATGGTATTGCCTCACTCCCTCTAGCCTTTCACTCTTTGCATGTTGCCCTGGGCATGTGTCTAGCTGTGCATGGATCCACATGTATGTGCAGAGCCCAGTGTAAAACATGTGTCCATCCAGGGCTCTCTGCACGTGTGGAGGCTACTATTTGTACATACCTGTTTCCCAGAAGGCCACATTTGGGAACCCACCAGAGTAACGTGCTGGAGAGCACTCAGTTTCAGTTTGGACCCAAGTGGGAGCCCCTTCCTTCTCACCTTTACAGTCACTGGTGGACCCGTCCTGGCAGGACGGAGATAGCCCATATTATTATTACTGTTGTTATTATTATTATTATTATTTTACACCCCACCCCCCCCCCCCGCCAACTGTGTGTGTACACACACATCTGTGGAGGTCAGAGGACAATTTGCAGAAGTTCTCTTTGCAAGATGTGGTGGGTCGTGGAGTTGAAACTGGGACCTGCGGGCTTGACGACAAGCTTCTTTACGTGTTGAGCAGTCCCACCTAGCCCAGGAATATTCTAAAGCAACATTTGTGCCGCTCCCTTTGACTGTTTGACTGTTGAGATAACAAACTTCAAGTTACCGGGACTTCCTCAGGAGTTTCGAGCTGGAAGGAGGTGGACCAGTTGGAGAGGGAGCTTGTCTCTCAGATTTCACACAGCTCTGAGACCACGTTGCAGAAGATACTAGAGCCAAGACCATGAGGGTAGGAGGGAACCACATCTTGATCCAAACTGCTTAGCTGTGCTGATCTTTAAAAAAAAAATAGTTGTCATTTATTTTATGTATCTGTGTGTGTGCCTAGAGGTATGTAGTGGACTATATAAGTGCAGGAGCCCAAAGAGGTCAGAAGAGGGTATCTGACCCCTAGAATTGGTGTTACAAATGGCAGTGAGCTATCATGCCACCATGTGGGTGCTGGGAACTGAACCTGGGTCCTCTGTAAGAACAGTAAGAGTCCTTAACCACTGTGCCATCTCTCCTTATTTCTGCATATCACTTTTTATTAAATATTTATTTTTTAATTATGTGTGTTTGTCTGTGTATGGCTATGTGCATGTGTGTGCAGGTGCTCATGGGCATGTGTGTCTGTGTGTGGATATGTGCATGCGTGTGCAGGTATCCATGGGTATGTGTGTTTGTGTGTGGATATGTGCATGTGTGTGCAGGTGCCCGTGGGTATGTGTGTTTGTGTGTGTGTGGATATGTGCATGTGTGTGCAGGTATCCATGGGCATGTGTGTTTGTGTATGGATATGTGCATGTGTGTGCAGGTATCCATGGGTATGTGTGTTTGTGTGTGGATATGTGCATGTGTGTGCAGGTGCTCATGGGCATGTGTGTTTGTGTGTGGATATGTGCATGTGTGTGCAGGTGCCCGTGGGTATGTGTGTTTGTGTGTGTGTGGATATGTGCATGTGTGTGCAGGTATCCATGGGCATGTGTGTTTGTGTATGGATATGTGCATGTGTGTGCAGGTATCCATGGGTATGTGTGTTTGTGTGTGGATATGTGCATGTGTGTGCAGGTGCTCATGGGCATGTGTGTTTGTGTGTGGATATGTGCATGTGTGTGCAGGTGCCCATGGGTATGTGTGTTTGTGTGTGGATATGTGCATGTGTGTGCAGGTGCCCGTGGGTATGTGTGTTTGTGTGTGTGTGGATATGTGCATGTGTGTGCAGGTATCCATGGGTATGTGTGTTTGTGTGTGGATATGTGCATGTGTGTGCAGGTGCCCGTGGGTATGTGTGTTTGTGTGTGTGTGGATATGTGCATGTGTGTGCAGGTATCCATGGGTATGTGTGTTTGTGTGTGGATATGTGCATGTGTGTGCAGGTGCCCGTGGGTATGTGTGTTTGTGTGTGTGTGGATATGTGCATGTGTGTGCAGGTATCCATGGGTATGTGTGTTTGTGTGTGGATATGTGCATGTGTGTGCAGGTGCCCGTGGGTATGTGTGTTTGTGTGTGTGTGGATATGTGCATGTGTGTGCAGGTATCCATGGGTATGTGTGTTTGTGTGTGGATATGTGCATGTGTGTGCAGGTGCCCGTGAGTATGTGTGTTTGTGTGTGTGTGGATATGTGCATGTGTGTGCAGGTATCCATGGGTATGTGTGTTTGTGTGTGGATATGTGCATGTGTGTGCAGGTGCCCGTGAGTATGTGTGTTTGTGTGTGTGTGGATATGTGCATGTGTGTGCAGGTATCCATGGGTATGTGTGTTTGTGTGTGGATATGTGCATGTGTGTGCAGGTGCCCGTGAGTATGTGTGTTTGTGTGTGTGTGGATATGTGCATGTGTGTGCAGGTATCCATGGGTATGTGTGTTTGTGTGTGGATATGTGCATGTGTGTGCAGGTGCCCGTGAGTATGTGTGTTTGTGTGTGTGTGGATATGTGCATGCATGTGCAAGTATCCATGGGTATGTGTGTTTGTGTGTGGATATGTGCATGTGTGTGCAGGTGCCCGTGGGTATGTGTGTTTGTGTGTGTGTGGATATGTGCATGTGTGTGCAGGTGCCCATGGGTATGTGTGTTTGTGTGTGGATATGTGCATGTGTGTGCAGGTGCCCGTGGGTATGTGTGTTTGTGTGTGTGTGGATATGTGCATGTGTGTGCAGGTATCCATGGGTATGTGTGTTTGTGTGTGGATATGTGCATGTGTGTGCAGGTGCCCGTGAGTATGTGTGTTTGTGTGTGTGTGGATATGTGCATGTGTGTGCAGGTATCCATGGGTATGTGTGTTTGTGTGTGGATATGTGCATGTGTGTGCAGGTGCCCGTGAGTATGTGTGTTTGTGTGTGTGTGGATATGTGCATGTGTGTGCAGGTATCCATGGGTATGTGTGTTTGTGTGTGGATATGTGCATGTGTGTGCAGGTGCCCGTGAGTATGTGTGTTTGTGTGTGTGTGGATATGTGCATGTGTGTGCAGGTATCCATGGGTATGTGTGTTTGTGTGTGGATATGTGCATGTGTGTGCAGGTGCCCGTGAGTATGTGTGTTTGTGTGTGTGTGGATATGTGCATGCATGTGCAAGTATCCATGGGTATGTGTGTTTGTGTGTGGATATGTGCATGCGTGTGCAGGTGCCCGTGGGTATGTGTGTTTGTGTGTGGATATGTGCATGTTTGTGCAGGTATCCATGGGCATGTGTGTTTGTGTGTGGATATGTACATGTGTGTGCAGGTGCCCGTGGGTATGTATGTTTGTCTGTGTATGGATATGTGCATGTGTGTGCAGGTATCCATGGGTATGTGTGTTTGTGTGTGGATATGTACATGTGTGTGCAGGTGCCCGTGAGTATATATGTTTGTCTGTGTATGGATATGTGCATGTGTGGACAGGTGCCCATAGAGGTCCAAAGAGGCTAGGATCCTCTTGTGCTGGAATTACACGCAGTGTGAACCACCCATGTGGGTGTCCTGAAACAAGCTCAGGTCCCTAGAAGAGCAGCGAGCACTCTAACCACTGAGCCATCTCTCCAGCCCCATGCATGCCTCCTGCCTTCTATATAAACCTAAATCTAGTGTCAGGACTCTAAAAATGGACTTGGAGGGCAGTGGTAGGAAGAAGCACTGGGTCTCTTGGTTCCTCTTCCCAAGGCAGCCACATTGAAATAACTTGCTTTTCTATTTTTTTTTTTTTTTTTTTTTTTACTGTGGCTTGTTTACCCCAGTTGGCCTAGAACTCACTCTGAAGATCTGGCTGACCCTCAGGGATCTGCCTGCCTCTGCCTCCCCAGTGCTCATAGTGAAATTTTATACCACCACCCCCAACTCCCAGTTTAATTTTAAAGACAAGGTTTCTCAACTGAGCCTGGAGCTCACTAGTGTAGACTGGTTGGCCCCGGTATCCTCCTGTGTCTGCCAGCTCAGTGCTGGGATTATCACAAGTGCCCTTGGCATACCGGGCTTTTAGTCAGGTGGAGAGGGCATCTGAAATCAGGGCCTCTTGCTTGCAGGGCAAGCATTTAACCCAGTGACCCCAGCCCTGACTGAGTTTTTCTGTACCTGGTTTGTTAGGGGACTCCGAGGGCTCAGGGTCTAACCCTAACAGCTCTGGTGACAGTGCATTAGTTGAAGAACTGGAGTCAGCCATGGTGACGGTGCTTACACTAGAAGAATGGACAGATGCCGAAAGGAATGATATCTGTCAGACATTTACCACCACAGCCTTCGGTTTCACTCGTGTCTCCATAGCTCCACACACCCACATACATTTCTGTCCCCATGTGTCTCTCTGGAGACCTGTGACTTGCATGTCACATGTGTCTCTGTTTGTGTACCCATGTGTGAGGGTGAGGCCCTTGCACCCCGTTCCTCTTCAGCAGTTGGCTCCACAGGAAGCTATTGGGTGGGGGTTCAGTGGGCTGAGCCTCCCCTCTTGCCTCTCTACTTCCCCATGACATCTACAGCAGGTACGAGCCAAGGGTGGACTCCTGAATGTTCACAACCCACCTCTGCCTATTTACTACTGTCCTTGCAAACCCCTGAGGCTGCTGCCCACTGCACAGAGCCGCTGGGGACAAAACAGCGGTTGGTTGAGAAAGAGGAAATTGGGCAAAGTAGAACCACCCTGTGGTTAGCCTGGCCCATGTGCCACTGGCAACCCTGGCTGTCTGACATGGGGGCTGCAAGAGCTGTTAACAACGATAGTCGCCTACTTCAGCAAGAATCGAGACCCAATGGGTGAGTACACATCTTGAGGGGTGGTGGACAGATGGGCACGTTGGGACAAAGCAGTAATGGACCTGAGAGCCCCCAAGGAAGCAAAATTGACTACTACCTGCCAGGTCATGACCGTGAGAGAGAAAGGCAGCCAGCTGTTTGTCCCTTGTGTTTGCTTTGCAGAGATCAGCAGTCCTAAAATGACCCTGGATGGTCCTGGGGGCATCAGTTCGTTGGTGGGGTGCTTGCTTAGCATGGGCAAAGCACTGAGTTTTAGCCCCAGCATTGTATAAAGGAGAAGTGTTGCATGCCTGTCAAATATAACTTGGGAGGCAGAGGCAGAAGGATCAGGAGTTTAAGGTCATCCTCACTTTCAGAGGGAGTTAAAAGGCTGCCTGATCTACAGGAGACCCATGCTGGAGTCTGGAGAAGCCCTTTGTAAGCAAGAGCTGTGTGGAGACAGGGGTCGGGGATGAGGGAGGAAGTTTAGGCAACCCTTCACTAGGTGTTCATGTTTTATCTTGTTCTGGTTTGTTTTGCTTTTGAGCCTGAGTCTCGCCATGTAGTCCAGGTTTGCCTCCAACTCCCAGCCTCCCTACCCATGCCTCCCCAGTTCTGGGATGACAAGCATGCACGCGTACCACCACACCCTACCTTGACCTCCCCACCTTTCAAAGCCTTAGTTCTGGGGGTCCTTCAGCCTCCTCTTATACAGGCTAGGAGAACCCGGCTTGCACAGCAAACTTAAGGCTGACATTTGCTGCAGAGCAGATCTTTCAAGGTCTTCTGCAGGGACTCTCAGCCTTGGGGAGTTACTGGTGGCTTCCTTCAGGGTCCCACATGAGGAACCTCCCACAGCAACTGCCTGAGCTGAAGTAGGGAGGCATGTTGTACCTTATACCCCACCCAGGCCTGCAGCTTCCTCACCCCCTAGTATTGTCTGTTGACTTCAGGCACTCTAGGTGCAGGAGGTGACCCCCAGAGCCATGCAGAAGTGGGTTGAGAGCCGACCACTTCGATGGAGGCAGTCAGTTGGTGGGAGGCAGACGTTGAACGTCACACCACAAGACTGACACTCTAAGAGAGTCGCCCTGGTTCTGCAAAGGAGGGAAAGTGAGAGCTCTGTCGCCTTTGAGCGCCTTTCTTGTGCCTGTAAATTTCTTCATGACTCTTGAAGAGCCTGGGGAGATAGCATGGGGAGCTGGGTTCAGATCTCCTGCACTCACGGGAAATAAATTGAGCATGGTGCTGATGGCCTGATATCACAGGGCTGCAGAGGCAAAGACAGGTCTCTGGGGGCTAAGTTTCAAGTTCAGTGAGAGCTTGTCTCAGAAGTAAGGTGGGGACTGGAAAGATGGTTCAGCAGGTAAAGGTACCTGAGGCTAAACCTGGCGACATGAGTTCTATCCCACAAATTGGGAGGAGATAACTGCAAGTTGTCCTCTGACCTCCACACGTACTCCATGGCATGTAAACGCACACGTACATACAAATTAATAATTGATTTAATTTAAAAATGAGAAGGAAAGCAATTGTGGAAGACAATGTCAACCTCCCACTTCCACATGCATGCACACTTCTGCACACACCACCACATACACGTGCATAAAAATGCACACAGTTAACTGCAAACTCCTCAGTGTATCTGGGCTGGACTATCTCTGCATCCCAGGTCTCCTCAACTCCTAACACAGAGCTAGGAATGTGCTTGCGCTCTCTGGGTCCTGTTGTTAGTGCTGGAGTGTCATTTTGCATAGGTATGCCTTTGAATTCTAGCGCCCCTACTCCCGAGCTTCTGTGTGACTACAGGTCCTAGCACGAACGCTCGTGGTCTCTCTTTGAGCACCTGTGTGAGAGAAAGGTCTTGAGGTCATGCACGTGAAATCTTTGAACTTGGTGCCTGGCACATTGTAGCTCAGAAAACATTATTGACTCCGCCTTTTCCTTTGTTCTGTGTTCTTGTGGTGAAGCCTTGCTTCCTGAGCCGTTACCCCACCCATAAAACATGTGTATGGCACAGACACTTCCTGTGTTGTACCTCAAAAGAAAGCCCAGGGGAGCTGGAGAGATGGCTCAGTGGTTGAGAGCACTTGATACTCTTTACAGAGGACCAAGATTTAGTTGCCAGCACCCTCATGGGGTGGCTCACAACCACCTGTAACTCCAACTCTAGAGAGTCCAGAGCTCACTTTGACTTCTGAGGGCACTACATGCCCAGTGCACATGTAGTGTACATGCCTGTGGGAAAAACACATACATGAAATAAAGAGAAATAAATCCAAGAAAGAAAGAAAGAAAGAAAGAAAGAAAGAAAGAAAGAAAGAAAGAAGGAAGGAAGGAAGGAAGGAAAAAGAAAGACTCACGGTGTACCCATTCCTCAGCTAGTCCTACTGTCCCTGTTTCTCTGAGGTTTTCACCCTTTTTCTATCCACTGTCAGCCTAGGTCTGAAGATTCTACGTAGCACAAAGTATCTTTTAAATTACTGCCTATTGCGATCATTTGCTTTTGTCTTTGTTGTTTTTTATGTGTGAGTTTTTATTTTATTCATTCATTCGTTTCTTTTTAAATTTCTTTTATTATATGTATTTATGTCTATGTGTGTGGAGAGCAGGTGTGATGTGCATATGTGTGCATGTGCGTGGAGAGCAGGTGTGCATGTGTGGTGTGCACAGGCATTATTGTGCGTGGAGAGCAGGTGTGCATGTGTGGTGTGCACAGGCATTATTGTGCGTGGAGAGCGGGTGTGCATGTGTGGTGTGCACAAGCATTATTGTGCGTGGAGAGAGGGTGTGCATGTGTGGTGTGCACAGGCATTATTGTGCGTGGAGAGCAGGTGTGCATGTGTGGTGTGCACACATACATGTGCGTGGAGAGCGGGTGTGCATGTGTGGTGTGCACACATACATGTGTGTGGAGAGCAGAGGACAACCCACAGACATCAGTTTTCTCCTTCCATCACATGGGTCCTGAGACTCAGATTCAGATCGTCAGACTTGACAGCAAGCACCTCTTTCTGCTGAACCAACCCGTTGGCTTAAATTTTTAAGATTTATTTTATTTTTTATTCATGGGGTTGTGAGAGCACATGTGTACAAAGTGCCCTTGGAAGCCAGGAGAGGAAGTTGGAGTCTCTGGAACTGCAGTCCTGGGTGGTGATAAGCTATCTGATGAGGATGCTAGAATCCTCCGGGAGAACAGTGTGTGCACATGAACATACACACAAAACACACACACCACGCAAAACTCATGCGTGGAGGTCAGGAACAGTTTTGGAGATTCGGTTCTTTCCTTCCACTGTGTGGGTTCCAGGGGTCCTCAGGCTTGGGGGCATGAACCGTCTTGCCAGTCCTTGTTTTGTCTTTTTGAAAGAGTTTTCATGCTCCCAGGCTGGCCTCAAACTTCTGATCCTCCTGCCTAAGTCTCCCAATACTGAGAGGACAGCCATGTATCACCATGCTCAGCATGAATTGTCCTATTTTATTGCTGACTATAGCTGTTGATCTCTGACTATGTCTAATTGATAAATGGAACATTATCATAGGTATAAGAAAAAGCTTGTTTGGGGTAGGTATTGCCGTGGTTTCAGGCAGCCACTTAGGACATTAGAACATGGCTGGTGGACTAGAGTGATACCCTGTTGGTAAAGGGAAACAGTTCTCAAGAGCCACCAATAATGCATCAGCATTGAATTATGAAATTAAAATTATATGAATTAAGTAAGAAACTAATCTGAGCATTCCTCTTTTTGGAGTAATTTTATGGAGAGGTCAGATTTGAATTCTCTTCCCCTTATGTCTTCCAGCTCTCCTGACTCTTCCTTGTATGTGTCTAAACCAGCGCCTGACTGAACGCTGTCTTTTGACTCTGTCCCTATGTCTATGTGTGTCCCTAACAAAGTGCTTCACTCTGTACTTACTGAACTGCACAGAAAGCACCACATAGAGAAAGAATGAGAAATACTTTACGGAAATATTGTTAAATTTTAGGTTTTAGAGGGGATTAAGTCCCCTGGATAGTGGTGGCGCACACCTTTAATCCCAGCACTCGGAGGCAGAGGCAGGTGGCTGTCTTAGTTCAAGGCCAGCCTGGTCTACAGAGCGAGTTCTAGGACAGCCAGGGCTACACAGAGAAAGCCCTGTCCGGAGGGGGGGGGGACAAAAAAGGGAAGTGCGAGGAGGTGTTAAGTCACCCACTCTAACTGACTCAGATAACAAACACAGCTGTAAACAGACTTGCCAGCCTGTGTTGCATCCTCGTTTAAGGTGAATGTGTGTCTTACAAAGTTTCTTCCAACCTGTTTGCTGTTGATAAACAAGCCATCACACACGCAATGCGTGGACCACAGTCCCGCCAGCTGCGGAGATACCTTGGGCCCTTCTCTCCCGGCTCCTTTCAATTTCCTTCTTCCTTCCGTAGCCCTCCCTCCTTCCTTTCCTCTTCCAGAGCTTACCTCTCCTCCCTCTACTTCCCTTCCCAGGGAGAGAAGATGGTGGTCACTCACATAGGACACAGAGAAGACCAGGGAGACCTTGGGAACCGTTCAGGCGCTGGAGAGTGAGGGAGGAGTCTAGAAACGTCCCTGGTTTGGACTCGGGATGGGGGACGAGAAAATATTACCAGATTTACAAATACGGTGGTGGGAAATCGTATACCCCACACCGTTATGGTATTTGCTTTCAGTGCCGTGTTCCCTAAGTTTCGTAGACTGTTCATAGTTTTATTATGAGGGTGGAGGCTGTGTGAGACGAGTTTGTCCTAAAGTAGGCTTCTGAGAGTGTCCTGAACTAGGGCTTTGGGGATCTGTCAGAACGAAGGCAAACATGGGGCTTCTACCGCCAGGGGGCAGCACCTGCGTGGCCAAGAGCAAGCTTTCTGGACATGAGTTTGAAAGCAAAGTCTTTCAAAATTACCTATTCTATTTTTGTTGTTGTTGTTGTTGTTCTCATACAAGGAAGTGAAGTGTACTGTAAACTTTTCCAACATATATGATATATTTTACTCTATTCGTATCTCAATGACA